TTTCCAAAATAAAGGGTCAAATTTGTCCTTCCACAATTTGAAAAGGTTTATATTTGGCCTCTATAAGGTATGAGTAAGGTCTGCATACATACTACCCTCCCCAGACTCTATGGTGTGGGATAATACTGGGTATGTTGTTGTTGTTATTGAACCAAAAAAGCCCCTACCGTTATTTAAAGGTCCAAAATAACCCTTTGTCACGACCCAAAATTCTACCTTGAGGATCGTGATGTCACCAAGTCCCTAGAACAAGGTAAGCCTAACACATGCTGAGCTACGAACAGATTTACACCATTTAACCATTAAACATGAACCGATAAATGACATACATAGCTAAAAACGATCAATAGTTATACATTTCTCAAAATCGGTAGTACAAAGTTATAAGCTATTCTAAGAGTAACTAAGAATATCAAATACATCACTGTTTGGGATGGAAGTAAACATTAACAATTTAATTTTAACTCCAGAAGGTGACTCCGAGGCCTGTGACCGTAATGACAGGTATACCTTGAAGTCTCCGTAGAAAATCTCCAACATCTAGCTAACGACCAACATACTCAGAAGTACTTGGACTGTACAAAAATGTGTAGAAGCATAGCTTGAGTACACAACAACGATACCCAGTAAGTATGAAGACTAACCTCAGTAGAGTAGTGACGAGGTTCAAGTCAAGACACCTACTAGACATAACCCAGAGTATTAATATAAAGCTAACAGAGGAACAAATATCAATGTAAAGCTTAACATGGAAAGAATAATGATAGAACACTGGAAATGAAAAGTAGATACAACAAATAAAAATAAGGAGTAAACAGGTGAGAACACAACAAGTAATCATGATACCGTTAAAGTACCAGTGAAATTAATTAAGGAAAATAAATAACAACTAGATACTCAAATCATTCTATCATAAGGTTTACAAAAGAATCACGCCGAGGTATTGCACCTCATAATCACAAATCACGAGTTCCAAACCACGAAGCATATACACATGGCATCTCGTGCCTACATTTATCAAACACATCCGCACGGACCACTCACATGTTGTACGGACAACTCACATGTCAATATCACAATCTGTCTGGTATGGTCACAAGCCCATATACATATGGCACCTCGTGCCTACATTTATCAAACACATCCGCACGGACCACTCACATGCTATACGGACAACTCACATGCCAATATCACAATCCGTCCGGTATGGTCACAGGCTCATTGACACAATCTTCCCCACATGGTCATAGGCCACTATCACAATTTACCCATCGTTGTCACAGTCTATCAGTCCAACCATATCATAGAGAAAGCAGATATACAATAAAACATGTGCATGATCACATAATATCAAGTTTCAAACTCCTGAACTATCACCGTCCAAGTCAACAAGTAATTTCAGAGACACCGAGTAGCACATTGGAAACAACACCACAAGTCACGTAATATGCATGACACACATAAGGAATATCACACCATCATATGAATACCATTAATAATTTGCCCAGGCTATCACATATCATCCCTGACATAGCCCCTTGTCTTGCCGCATGCGCAAAAATAAAGTAAATGCCTGCCTTGTCCCGCCACACGCGCATCAATATTTATCTTACATCGTCTCACCACATGCGCGAACCCAATATTTGTGTATAGTCCCCTTTTCTCGCCGTATGTGCACTATCAATAATAATAATAGAACGATAGAGTCTCAAGCAAACACCTTGACAATCCTCTTAACAGGCCCACATATGCCAAAAACACAACAATACAACATAACAACTCGCATCACACGTGTCCATATGCCACAATATTACTATAACAACAATACTAATACCACAATAATATATAGCCCATGACTCAATAACAATGAGTATAGAATCAACAACAATAACACAAGAGTACGAAAAATAAATCAACACTAGAATTAAAACAACACAATGAAACGGAAGAATAAACTTAACAATGGAAGAGATAACATGTAATAACAACTTCAATTATGAATAACTCAACAATGAAAGAGGTAACATCTAGTGAAAACATCAAATAAGAATAACTCAACAATAAAGAGAGTACATGACAATAAAAGAAGTAACAACTTCAATTAAAGCATATAAGAGTAAACTTGACAATGGAAGATATAACATGATACGACAACGTCAATTAAATGTATATAAAAAATCTAAGAGTCTAAACCGGTCAATTACATATAAGGTCATGTATGCACTCTTCACCTCGTATACACGTCTCCACGTAATTCAAATAGTGCAATCAAACTAAATTCTACGAGGTAGTTCCTCCACACAAAGTTAGAAAAGATACTTACCTTAAAAACCCTCAATCGGCAAAGGGTAGCTCAGTGCACTAAGCTTCCGCTATGCGCGGGGTCCGGGGAAGGGTCGGACCACAACGGTCTATCGCACGCAGCCTTACCCTGCATTTCTGCAAGAGGCTGTTTCTATTGCTCGCACCCGTGACCTCTTGGTCAAAACCCCTCAATCGATACAATAAAAATATTTTTCCTCTAAAATTCGCCCCCACTTGGTTCAAATCTAACCAAAATCAACTTATTAATATCAAATAATGCAAGAGAAACCAATTCCAACAAATAAAGTTAAGATCTTTACACAATTCTCTGAAAGTCAACAAAAGTCACCTCCTGGCTCGCTCGGTCAAAACTCGAGTCCAAGGGTGGATCTTGCCTATCCATAACCCCATGGGTCTATATATGTGTTTTGTTTTCAAATCTGAATCCAATTCGACTCTCAAATCTCAAATTTTTATTTTTCAAAGCATACACAAAATCCCCAAATTTTCCTTTCAAATATCATGAATTAGAGGTTAAATATCATAAATAATCATGCAATATAATTGAAAATTGATCAAAATCACTTACCCAATAGTTTTATGTGAAAATCCCTCCTCAAAATCATATCCTATCAAATGTAGGGTTCTAAAATATGATAAAATGAAGCTAAGTCCTATTTTCAGCCCTTTTGTTCAGGTGCAGAAATCGTAGATGCAATTTTAGGTTCGCAAATGTGAATCTTCGCAAACATGAACAATCCATCACAAATATGGTGCCCTGATGAACTTAGGCAAAGTTGCAATGCGACCCTGACATCATATCAGGTCCTTCGCAAAAGCGATCATGTGCTCGCAAATGCGATCAAGCCTCCTAGGTCCCAAAATATTGATAACTTCAAATTGAGCAAACAAATTCTCGAATATTCACAATTTGGCCACGTTCGCCCGACAACGAATGTGTATATTTAAGATTTGAGAACAATACATCAAAAAAGATTTTCTTATTATGTGATATGGATTCAACCAAATTGGTCCTAACATGACTGAAGCTGTCTCTTTTTTTAAACCAACTAAATACAAATCACACTTGTTCATATCGTATTGCTTACACATTGCCCAAAATGGTAGTTAAAATGAGATATAAAGCTTCAACCGAATCCTTTTGGTAAATAAAGCCAAACCATATACTAATAACTGTCACATGTCATGCTTTACATGGCTAGATAAGAGAAAAGACGTGCAAGTGGAATTGTAATAAATATTGCACGTATTATATTTACTAAAAGTTACTCCCAACTAGTTAACCAAAACCACAAATCTTGGGTTAAAGAGTCCCACGTTGCAATATATAATATATCACGTTCCATTCAGCCTTTTTTTAAAAAAAAAAATTAATTTTGAATTTTTCTTTATGTAGTGCTTAGGACAGCAAAGCATCATCATGACATTAATATTTATAGTGGTTCTCAAATTCGAATTATAAGGTCTCTAGTATTCCAAAAACAAATGACATCTTTTGTCTTAAAAAAACAAATTAGACGTCGGCCAACTTATCTTAGTTCTTTTATTCTTTTGTTTTAGTAAACTACCAAAAACATGGAATTATAAAAATCTACTCTTTGCATGGAAACATATGTGCGTGTGTGTCTGGTATAATATACGACAGAACATGTGTTTATAGTTTCTTCCCAATATGATAACATCTCTTTCCTTTTTCTTTTTATTTTATCAAACGGAATCACCTTGCTTGTTGCCAAGTCGTTCACAATTACCTTTATTGTGACCTGCAAATTTACCCCCACCAAAAGAAATTAAAACAACAGATAGAGTAAGAGCTCTCTCTAAAAGTATCTCTATATAACACACTTCACTATAAAAGTCATACTTTTTTTGGAATTAATTTTTATGTTATAATATATATATATATATATATATATATATATATATATATATTCTATATAACGTCACGTCGCTAAAATATTTAAAAATATTCGGAACAAGAGACTGTTATAGAGTGGTTTGACGATAGTTAAGTGAAAATTTTGAGGAACATCGGTTGTATTTTCAGTCATAAAACCTCCTAATTTTTGGGTTGATAGAAAGTAGAAGCTTCATGTGTCAACCTAGAATCATGCAGTTTTATTTTAGTACTTCTTTGATAAGGACCTCATTGTTAGGCATAAAAAGGGGGTAACATGTAACATCAAAAATATCCAACAAGGGTCCATAATTTGGTCCCATCTTTGAAAATTTGACCCTTCAAGTCTATTTTTTTAAAAAAAATTTAATCTCAATCTCTAAAGCTGTTGTATTTTAATAATATTGACAAACTTATCTCTTCTTTACTCCCTTTGTCCAAATCAATATTACTCACAAAAATTATCTTCCAATATATCTAAATCTTTCAGCTTAAAGCATACTGACAAATGTAGACATTGCTATAAACAACATACACAAATCTCTTACGAAACGTTATCATATTCAATGCTGCTTTATTTATAATCTATCCGTAAGGGCAAAGTTACTTTCAAATTTCAATCAAGTTCTCCAAATTAAGTACTCTCTCTAACCCTTTATTCGTATTTAATTAGCTTTTGATTATTTCCCGGGCTATATCGAGAGTTTTCCCTATTTTCTCTTAGTACGTCCTCATTTTTTCTTACAACAATTTAAAAAGGGAAAAAAACAAATAACATAAAATTAAAATTCCTCTATTTGTATCATATATTTGCTTAGTAAACTTAATAATATACTAAGCAAGCAATACGTTCGAACTCTTCTTGTTTTATTAGGCTAAGCATTTAATTTGCACTACTACGTACGTATTAGTTATTTCTGCTTCATCTTCTTATTTTCAGAAGACTTGTTGAGGAAAAAATGCCGAGCAAGAGTTACAGAGTGTCTCCAGTGCCAATGACTTTGTTTGCACACTTGTTGTTCATAGCTATCACAACACTGATGCTAGTCTGGCTTTTGCATTTCAGAGAAGGCCTTGATTTCACTTCAACCAACAAACCCAAGATTTTCAATGTAACTAATTTAATTTCTCTTTCCTTTTTCTGGATAATTAAAAGTTTTCTTGGTGATCTTAGCTTTTCTTTATACAACTTTTTTCTTTTCATATTTTATTTGATATATTTCTCTTTTACTAATTATTTGGTGTTTGCAGATTCATCCATTGCTTATGGTTATCGGGTTTCTCTTATTAGCTGGAGAAGGTAAGAAATCAAAATCAGTTTTTTAAATATTCATGTGCATAGTTAGCAGAAATCATTTTTTTTTCTTTTCTATTTTTTCTGTCACTATTAATTACAATTATGAATATGAAAGTAGAAAAGGAGGACTCGTAGGACCTGACTACAATTTGTTTGAGGAAAAAAAATTTTAAAAAATAACACTCCTATTATTAGAAAGAAAAAAAAAAGAGGAAATAAGATAGAAAATTTAAACATATTTCCTGTTGGACTTATTATTAATTATTTTTTTTGAAAGAAAATATTTGCTGATTCTTGTCTTTTTAGTTTCCTCTTGTATCAAGCAATCCAAGAAAATAACTAGGACTCCATCTTTTAATATGTATATAATGATAATTTCTTCTTAATTTTGCTTTCTTGTTATTTCAAAGAATTAGTGAAAGCTACTTGAAGTTAATGTGTGCCTCGTTTTCTTCAATCCTTTTCTTTTTCCTACTCTATACAAAATGATAACAGCAAGCAGCCAAGATTGTTTTTCTTTCTTAAAAACTATTGTTACCTGTTTGATTCATGCCTTTTTAGCTGCTATGAATTAATAAAATTAATTTGGGTTGTGGAACAGCAATAATGGCATACACCACAGTTCCAACATCAAGCAAGAAGCACAAGTTGTATCACATGATTCTTCATTTCATTGCTCTTGTTGCTGCGGTTATTGGTCTCTACGCTGTTTTCAAATATCATAACGAATCTGGAATTCCTCATATGTATACCTTTCACTCCTGGATTGGCCTTTCCACCATCATTCTCTTCGCTTTGCAGGTAAAAATATGATTATTTACGATTATACACATATTATACATGAATTAAACATATATTACACATCCACTATTTTTAATTTAAACAGTTGAATTAGCGGCTATTTAAATTACTATTATTTTTTATTTGGGACAGTGGCTATTATCATTTTTGACCTTCTTATTTCCTGGGGCGCGAACGTCAACAAGGTTAAGAGTGGCTCCATGGCATGCCCTAATTGGGATAATCATCTTCTTGTTGGCAATCGTAGCTGCAGAGACAGGCTTGGTGCAGAAATTCATATTCTTGGGGCTTACAAGGAACCAAGAAGGACTTATCCTTAATTTTACTGCGCTTTTAATACTCCTCTTTGGAATTTCAGTTGGTGTTGCTGTTCTCCTACCCGGTCGTGGTTATTAGTTAAATATTCAAATTTGTTGTAAATGTTGTTTTGTGTGCTATTAAGGAATTACTAAGTCCTTGTATTGATGGTTTGGTTTTTATCTATTAACCCTACACAGAATATTTCTTTCGAGTTGGGTGTTAATTCATGTATTTAAAGTTGTTATGCTATGTAAATAGACTATTTTTTTTATTAGCCACAAAAAAAATTATTAGACTGTTTTGGTTTTTTATATTACTAGTCTTAATGTACGCGCTTTGCACGTGTCCTTATATTAATAAGACAATCGGGTTTATTTTTGCTTTTTGTGTTTGTACTTAAAGTTTGGAACATTCTTGAATGGTCCAATAAATTTTATAGCTCATAAAGTTAGTAAGTCAAATAAAGCTCAAATCAATACTAATGTTAATGAAGAAAATTCAATTCAATACTAGGAATGATAGTAGTGTTGGATATCTATTTTTTTTTAAGTTTTGCGTTGGTTTATAATGAAAATGCATAACCTAGTTTAGCTTTTTCTTTAGTGCTTAGTTGTGTAATTAATAGCACGTATTAGCTGTACTTATTTTAGCATGACTTATATAATATATTTAAATTATGTTAATTTTTACTATGGCATATTAATTAGTAATAGTTCTTTATGCGATTTTATTATCTTTTTTATTGAATATTTTAGTACAATGCTATGACCCATCTCATATTATTATATTATTTTTTTGAAAAATATATTATATAATTGTATCCTACTAGGACTAAAGAAATATTTGAAGCACAAGTTACATATTTTGTGCTAGAAAGACTTTATCGGGAAAAAATCCAAACACCCGAAAAAACCGAAATTGGAAAACCCGATTTTATTGGTTTGATTTTGTTTATAGATTTAAAAATCCTACACCATTGGTTTGGTTTGGTAATTGAAAAATTTGAACCAACCCAACCTATGTACACCCTAATTGCAACTACTGGCCAAAAGAAAAGGGAGAGACATTTTTTTTTAAAAAAAAAATCTGCTTGGCGAGGCGGGTGGACGCAGGTATGGGTGCGAAGCGGATAGATGCGAATTTAAGTGCTATGCGGGGAGGGTTGAAATTTTGTGGGTTAAGACAGAAACTCCCCTACACCATCTGCCATTCCTAAATGTGTTCCTAGGTGCATACTGAAGAAGTTTTATTTTGTGTCTCATACAATTTACACTAGTTGTATGAGTCTTCTTTTTGTCTCACAAATTTGTGGACCACAATCTTACACTCCTAGGTCCACAGAAATATGGGTCCACAAAACTGTGAGACAAAAAAATTGCCCCATACAACTAGTGTCAGTTCTATGAGACACAAAATAAAATTTTCCGTGCATACTGTATGTAATTCAATTGGAAGTGAAAGGTGCAATTCTTGGCTAAATGCCGTTCAAATTTTTAGCAGTTTCTGTTGAAATGCCAAGGTACTAACCTTGAACAACAACAATGACTACACCACATATTCAAATAAGTTAGGGTTGGCTTATAAATCCCACTTCTTTATTTAAACTCAATTCATATCATTATATTAAATAAAATAAAAGTAAACAAATAAGGTATAGACTCAAAAATAGGTTAACCAACCACTACTATGGATAGTTGCAACCCCGATGGTCCATTTTGAACAATCCTTAAAAACTCACAGGAAAGCAAGGATATGTTTGTCAAGGTTAATTATAGATTAAAATTAATTAAATGGCCCACCATATTTTTAGTTTATTTCAACTACCTTATTTGTTTTTTTTGGATAAAAAATGATTCTTTTCTTCGGCGTTCTTGTTACGACCCGAATTTTTCATCGTCGGAACCGTGATGGCGCCTAACCTTTCAGTTGCTAGGCAAGCCAACAATTAGAAATTAATACGTTAACTCTTAAACAATTAAGTAAATAACAACAATTAAACTATAACAGATTAAAGGAGTGCTGAATTTTATAATAACCCAAGTAATTATACACAACTATCCATAATCTGGTGTCACAATTCACAAACTTCTAAGAATCACTACAAATAACTGGATGAAGGAAAGTACAACTATTTTCGAGTTAAAAGAAATAATAAATTGAAATAGCTGGAAGGGGACTCCAGGGTCTGCGAACGCCGACAGATCTACCTTGGGTCTCCTGTGGGATTGAAGTCAGCAACTCAACTTGGGTCAACACGGTCCAGTACCGAAATCTGCACAGAAAGTGCAGAGTGCAGTATCAATACAACCGACCCCATGTACTGGTAAGTGTCGAGTCTAACTTTGGCGAAATAGTAACGAGGCTAGGACAAGACACTCTCAAACAAACTTGTTCAGTTTATCAATACCTATACACTAATAACAACAACTAAAGAAACAAGGCAATAAGTACTGGGAAGGGGGCATGCTAAGGGGATCACAAGACAAATAATTACAGCGGAACTAAGAACATGAGCAATTTATATACCTTAAACAGATAGAAACGGATAAACATAATAAAGGAAAGTGCACGGCATCATCCTTCGTGCTTTTACTCTCAACCTCACCAGATAAATTAATAGAAACGTGCACGACATCACCCTTCGTGTTTCTACACTCAACCTCACCATAATAAATAATAGAAATGTGCACGACATCACCCTTTGTGTTGTATCACTCACTCATAATACATTGCATGACATCACCCTCCGTGTTTAACACTCTCCCTCACCAAAACAATGAACAATGACAACGGGGAGATAGGAATATCAAGAACAAATCTTACTTCAACACTTAGTACCACAATACCAACCTCAATTTTAAGTCAATACTCATTCAATACCAAATTCTGTAAAACATGATAAGAAATTGCTCAACACATCAAATAGTTAGTCTAAACATGAACAATGTAATCAAAGAATACAACATATTCAAAAATAAGACTCACTCACATAATATGACTCAACAACAACATATAGGTACTCATCACCTTACCTATACGTTGTACTCAACATCCAAACATGTAGCAAGTAGGCAAATAATACCCAACCCCTCAAGCCAAGGTTAACCACAACACTTACCTCACTCCAACGGCCAAACTCAAAGCTCAATCACCTCTTTTCCTTTCACACAAGCCTCCGGGCCAATAGAATCTAGCAAATTACCAACCAAATAATTCAATTTAAGCCTTAGCCCATGATTGCAAGGAATTCAATTTAGGCCATTTTTGAAAAAATCAACAAAAGTCAACACCCGGACTAGCTTGGTCCAAACCCGAAATTCAGACCAAAATCAAATTACCCATTCACCCCCGAGCTCGGATATATAATTGATTTTGGAATCCAACCTCAATTTAAGGTCTAAATCCCCCAATTTCGAAATCCAAAGTTTCTACCAAAAAATTTCCAATTCCACCATGAAAATCTTAGATTCTAGGTTAAAATCTTGTAAAATGAAGTGAAAGTTGAAAGAAACTAGTTTAGAATCACTTACCTATAATTTGGGGAAGAAATGGTCTTTGAAAAATCGCCTCTTGTGTTTTAGGTTTTAAAAATTTGAAGAATGAATGAAAAATCCCGTCTAAGTCCCTTTTACACATCTGCAGATGTCGCATTTGCGATTTGAGCTTCGCAAATGCGAAGGGACCATCGCAAATGCGAGGTCCTTCACACCTCTGCTGCTTTCACAATTGCGAAGATAAGTTCACAATTGCGAACTTGAATCTCTGCAAATGCAACTAAAAGATTGCATTTGCGATCACTGCCCCTCCCAACTTTACTTCGCAAATGCGAAGAATTCCTCGCAATTTCGAGGACTAGCTGACCCAGCTACTCTTCGCATTTGTGATGAGAAACTCGCGAATGCAGAACCTGCAGAGTTCGCAATTGCGATGCTTGATCTCGCAAATGCGATATCAGAGGCCTGCAACAAGATTAGTTACACCAACAAAGTTTTTCAAGTTTAAACCACTCCATAGCCTATCCGAAACTCACCCGAGCCCTCGAGGCTCAAAACCAAACATGCACACAAGTCTTAAAACATCATATGAACTTACTCGCGCGATCAAATCGCCAAAATAACACCTAGAACTACGAATTTAGCACCAAATCAAAATAAAATTCTCAAGAACACTTTAAAATTTCTATTTTCTCAACCGGACGTCCGAATCACGTCAAACCAACTCCGTTTCTCACCAAATTTCATAGACATGACTTAAATATCACTCCCTCCATTTCATATTAGATGAGGTACTTTCCTTTTTAGTCTATTCCAAAACAAATGACACATTTCTAACTTTGGAAATAATTCGACTTTAAAACACTTTTATTTTACCGATTACCCTTAATGAGAAGCCTTTATAGCCACACAAATGTCATGGCCCCACAAACTTTTTACCCCTTAAACTTTTAAGACCACAAGTTTCAAAAATCTTCTTCTTTTTTCTTAAACTCCGTACTGAGTCAAACTACCTCATCTAATATGAAACGGAGGGAGTATATTGAACCTGTACCGGGCTACGGAACCAAAATACGGATACGATACGAACAAGATCAAACATTGACAATTTCTTAAAAATCATTAAATTTTTAGACTTACAATTTTTAATAAAAATTCATAACTCGGGCTAGGGACCTCCAAATCTGATTCCGGGCATACGCTAGGTCCCTTATTTCGATACAGACCCATCGGGACTGTCAAAATATGAGTCCGGATCCGTTTACTCAAAACAATGACCGAAGTCAACTAACCTTTAAAGGCAAAAATCATTATTTTCATCAACTTTCAACATAAAAACTTTTCAAAAATACGCTCGGACTGTACACGCAAATTGAGAAAGAATAAAATAAGATTTTAAAGGCCTCGGGACACAATTAGAATTACTACTTATCATTTTTGTCAAGGAAATATTTGATTCTCTCTCCCTCTTTGTGTTACTAAGATATTAACTAGACGAAAACATAAGGGTATTAAATTATTTATTGCGCCACCTCACGCTCCTCCACATAAGTTCTATTAAATTTGTGAAGATCAACAAATTGATTCAGGATTGCAGTTATTGAGTGCAAACTTAATTCTTCTTTTTAATTTTGGTCAGCGGTTCACATTTTTGACATTCTGGAATCCTTACGTAAATAGCCAGTTCGATTTAATTTTTAATATATATAGAGAGAAACTGTCACGACCCAAATTTATCATATCGTGATGACGCCTAACATGGAACTAAGCAAGCCGACTATTTTATCAAAACAACCCGATA